ATTTTGTGGATGAACAGCTACACTTCTCATGTAAGTTTGCGTAGTTTTAACACAAACATTTATTTTTCATATTGCACCAGTACAGTTAATGAGCAACCTGTACTTGTGTGCTTGTTTGTTCTGTCTAAAATGTTTATTTTGGAATAAAGAGGTTAATATAAAAAAATGTTTTGTCTGATTCATCGATTAATCGAAAAAATAATCGTCCGATTCATAGATTTTTAAAATAATCGTTAGTTGCAGCCCTAAAATAAACCCTCCAGGACCATTATCAAGACTGGATATTGAACCTTCTTTCTGTCTGCGTATAGAAACATGACCCTAGTGCCTTAGTAGTGGCTTTAAGGAACATTAATTGGATGTTTGGACTGGCAAACAATCACCACTACAGTGCTGATAAAAAAAAAAGAAAGAAAAAAATGGATTCTCCCAGGCTTCAATAGGAAAGAAATCAGCTTCATGATCAAACTAATTTGCATCAAACAGATTTTAATTTCTGAACATAAACCAGCCCAACATAGTCTTCATGCAGTTTAAACCTGCAAACATGCCCATCCTCCTCCTCCTCTCTCCATGTGTCACTAACACTTGTGCAAATAAAGACAGATGAGTGTGATGGTGGAGTCCAGCAGCTGTCTCCACAGCCAGCAACAGGTCTGAATGGGAACAGTGGGAGAGAAGGGAGCAGTCTGGTGCGAATCATCCCATTAATAACAATAAACTTATCATGCTTATTTCCTTCCACTTTAATGCGTGGCGGTAGATTTTATCACGCTTTTTAAATGGAGTGAAACAAATATACTTCTTATGGTAATAAAACAAAGACTTATGATCGTTTAGGCTCAATAATACTCACTTTCAGCGGAGCTAAAAGCCGAAGAACCGAAGCCAGCCGATAAAAATGTCCGAACCAGCAGACACGCTGCAGCAGCAAAGTTATTACCGCGGAGAAAGCAAGCAGCCTGCGGCGGCATTAGCCGAGAGAGCAGCGGAGTGTCCGTGGACTCAGAACCACGGAGCGTGTCGCATTCCTTTGGTTTCAGTATCGTGACGTTACCGGGTGAGACAGTCGGTCAGAGGAGGGAGGGGGGAGGTTAGCATGGCTGTTAGCAGCCGCTCTTCCTCCTCTCTTCCTTTTCCCGCAGGTGTTTAGTTACCTGCAGTCACGTGCTGCAGATTTAGATTTTTTTCAACCTTCCTGTTGGCAGGTTCATCCAAAGGCTGTTTAAAATAAACTAATATATGTAAACGCAGACGAAGAGTTTATCGCCCCTGAACCGTGATGTGTTCACTTACTGTCGGTTCAAATGCTGACTGACTGAAACTTGGACAGAAACTTAGAAAAAGCCTGTTTATAAGAGTTAAATCTGCAAAGGAAGAAGACCACAGGACATATGGCATGTTTTTTTTTTTCTCCTGCTGCTCAGTAAATAGAAATATTGTAATAATCTTGCTGGGTTTATAATAATAAACACTATAACTTCCAGTGCACTTCAATCAAGGAAATAAACAGTAAACTAATGCTTTCAATATCTTGGGATAATTTATTTTATGTATTTAAATGTGTAAAGTATAACACTGAGGGGCAAAATCCAATTTGAGATTATTTAACAATAAAAAAGTAAAAAAGTCTAAGCTTATAAGAAAAATACTAGATAAAACTGAGTTCATGTTTGAACAAAATCCTGAACTTGTTAATATTTATTGCTTTAAAACAGGGTTTAATTCACTTGTGTGATGTTTGGAACCTAGTTTCCCAGCTTTACCTGAATGCAGCATAAACAGCTTTTTGGAAAATCTGGGATTTCTCCTAATCTAATCTCATAGGATGCAGAGAGTTTGTACGGAAGAGGATTATGGCCACTGAAAAAAATTTAAAAAAGGACAAAATTCTGACTTTTTTCTAGGATTTCATACTTTTGTCTCATATTACACTGAAATTACATTTAAAAATCAGTTAACTTTCTTTTTTTTCAGTGGCCCTTATCGTCTTCCGTAAATTTTTGGTTGATTGAATGCTAGCTATTTAGTTTTTTCCTACAGTACTGATTATGTTTACATTATTCCAAGTGAATAATACAATTAAATCTGAAGTGAGCTATGGAAGTTGTTAGGGTCCGGTTCAGTCAACCTTTCTTTCTCTACAGCAGCTGCACCTTAATATTCCCAAAAAGAGTTTAGTGATAGCCAGGAGTTCTGTACGTTTTGTTATGGTGTTATATTTTTAAATCCATCTTTCAGAAACTCAGCCTTTTATACAAACATTTTACATGCATTTTCAGAAACAAATAATATAAAGTCACACATCCAATAGGAAAGGCTTTAGCTCAAAATTAGAATACATTGTGCTTCTGACCTCTAAAATGCTTATTTTGCCTCTTGATAATTACTCCCTCTTACATGTCAAGCTGTGACAGTCTGCCTTAAATTAGCCTGTTTATCTAATCGAAGCATGCTGCTGTGAAATACCAAGCCTGCCTGTTAATATAAACACATTCATCACCAAGCACGCATAGAGAAAAAGCCAAGGCCTAATTACAATACATGATTTATGACATTTGGTCAAGCCCCTCCAGACTGTTTGATTTGTTTTCAAGAATAAATTTAACAGAAATAAGAGAGTGGATCACTTATCACCTATTACCCCCCCCCCCCCCCGTAGGTTTATTTTATAATGAACCTATACTCAGACTAGAAAGCCTTAGCCCCAGTAAGGAGAAAGCCTGCTGACATTCCTATGAGTAAAAATATAGCAGAAACTGGTTCGGCCGACGTATCAGAGCCAGAGAAGCACAAAGCTGCCAATCCGGAGGCCAAGTTCAAACAAAGCATGCAGTGTTGGAGCCAATGAGGGACGACTTTCAAAAGGCAGGTTGTGGAATGTGGAAAGGTCAATGATAACAACAGAGAAAGCAGGGTAAATGAGTACACAAGATAACTTCCTCACATTTAAACACCAACAGAGAGCAGACATTTTGATTGTGAGTTTATTGGCTTTGTTAACATGAGGGTTATTATGGGTACAAACAATAATTTTTTTTTTTTGGACGGATTCGAACCCCGGTCGGCCTCTGTACGTGGGTTGTGCTCGCTAACAGCTGTGCCACCTGCACGCTCAGGGTACAAACAAAATGAAAGGGATGCTTGGGAACAGAAAAGTTTACAAAGGTGTCAGAAAATATGATCCCAGTATTTCAGGGATCCATAACCCTGATAGTTTTGTTTTACATCCTTTTAATGCAAAGGCAGTTTAAGTAATTCTTTGCACTTCTATTCGAAAAGAGAAACTACTATACACTTCAGTGTTACTTTATAGTATACTTCTTCATAAATTACCAAAACAACCTGAAAATAAAATAGCTCACCTCATCTTGAATCTACCTCAAATAATTAAGAGGAAACTTTTTTAGATGAATTTGTTATAAAACTGAAAATGAAGACTCCACCATTTTATGTCTTGCATTAATTTCTCATGAAGACCAGTTACATATATACATATACAACTCCTGCCAAACATGACAGTGTAAAAAATATGTCTGGGGGAAATTAGTATATTAATTATGATAATTATTGACAAGATTTAATGCGCCACAACATCATTGGAAAAGAAAACATTGCTGCATCTCTCTGAGTTTTACACTCAGTGGTAGGCTTATAAATTACATGCAGTTCACCAAGGCAGCTGTAAGGGGGAAGTATAGTTTCAATCACCCGGTAAAGGGCACCATAGAGTCGGTTATGATGAGTGGAATGTTTTCTATAATTTTATGTGGTTTATTTGACACATAAAGTGGCATCTTTCCCTTGGGGAAAAATAAAATTTCTTTGGTAAGCAAGGACATTTTGCGCAGCAAAATATCATGACACCATCTGCTGCATTTTCCCTGTTCTGACCGGCTACAGGGGGCGTGTTCTGGACAGAGAGCAAGCCAACAATACCACACTACACAGGAAGTAGAAAACGAGGCCATTTACAACTATTTCAAAACATCTTCATTCTGTTCTGGAGGGACTGTTTTTTATTTCATTAAGTTTTTCCTGCTGCTCTCTTGCCATGTTTTCTGCATGGCTCCGTCCACATAGTTACACATTTTCCTAGGTGTTCCGTGCAGAGGGGAGTGGAAGCCCAAAATGACGTAATTTGGTATTGTGGACGAGTCAAGCATAAATGGAGGGTTCGATTTCAGAGGCTGCGTCCTCCAAAGCCCCGATCTATCTGGACCGGGTCCTTTAAGGTCTGTGAAAATAAGGAGGCCAGAAGAGTTTTGGGTATGGATTCAAACAGCTCCAGCCCTCTCCGGCTACACTTTGTCGTCTAGAAACCACAATAGTTGAGACAAAAAGCAGGCAAAGAATGGATTCCAAACATCTCACTATTGTCCTGGGTGCTAATAACATTTTCGAGGAGCTTCAGCAGCAGTACCGTCGTCGTGTATATAAGATTATAGCCCCACAATTCAGATATATGGTCATCTGAACTGAAATATCAGTTAAATATATTTGCACAGGTACAGATAAAAGCCTTTCAATAAACAAAACATTACCTGCCACTAGGCTTGTCAAAAGTATCGATACTCAAAAAAGTATCGATACTGAAAGGTTGTATCCCGATACAATACTCATTTCCAAAAGTATCGATACAGTGCTACCACCAGTGGCACCTAAACAGTCATTCATCTAAAATGCAGATTAGAGGAAAATGCACTTTCTGAACACTGTGTGATTGAATAATAGCTTGGTTTCACGTGACGTCACAGTGCTGCGTCACGAGCCCGCGAAACTCAGATGGAGGGCAGGAAGTGAAGTAGCTGAGGATCTGCCGTCTGAAATAATGCCTATGTTTTGTGTAGTTTACGGCTGCTCCAATCGTTCTAACCGAGAAAAGGAAAAGAGCTTTTACAGAGTACCAAAGATTGTCGTCCATAAAGGTGAAAATTGTAAAAAGCTCACAGAACAACGCCGAAAAAAATGGATTCCTAACCTACGTCTGCGATCTGAAGGAGCAGAGTCTGCCAATGCCCGTGTCTGCAGTGACCACTTCGTCGGAGGTAAGCTATAACGTTATGTTAGCTAGCTAACTTTTTTTTGTGGTTGTGTTTATATAGCATAAGGTTGTCATTAAATGCTCATGTACTTAGTAATGATTAATAAGTTACCGGTAGTCTAATATGGACTTCATTGTGACTGTTTATGCTGTCCTAGCGCTTTGGGTGACCTTGAATCGGTAGACTGGGCTCCGACGGTCAACCTCGGTTATCAAAAAACCAAGCCCAAATCAGAAGCATCTCTTCAATGAGAGGAACATAAACAACTGTGAGGCTAGCCGCTACTGCTAACGCTAGCATCTTTTAACACATAAAACAATTTAAGAACAAACACTAACCCTGGCGAAGACTAGACAATAATCGTTGTGGAGACGTTTGGTGCCGAGGTTGTGGACCCACCCGCTGACAAATAAGTTATATGCCTTCATACATTTATAGGCCTTCATTTGCTGTTTGGTGTAATACGACGTCTGAAGGACCAGATAGTTCGTTATGTCGACGGCCTCCACTGTCGGCAAATCTTTAAGGTCCACCGAAAACTTACTCATCTTCATGAGGTACGGGTCACGTCCAACATATCTGTATATCAACTCCTTGTATCTGTGTCTTGAAACAGGCTCTAACTCCATACAATACGGGCTCTCGGTAACGGTATCCTCCATGTTTACACTAACTTCATAGACTTCCTGCCCTCCATCTGAAATCGCGCCCCCTGGCCGCGTCATAATCGTCACGTGACTGAAACCCGGCTATTCTGTGCACTTTTCAGTTTCAGACTTTTTTTTGTAAAAGGTGGAGCTGCTGAGAATTATTCTTGTTTCTTAACCGGTTTGGCTAGTGTCATTGTTATGTGTGCAAAGAATAGCAAAGGAAGGAAAACTTAATGTTAATTTTGTACGTTTTATCAAGCTTGCTTAATACTGTGCACAGCATACAACCTCAAAATATTGTTCTTATTGTTTATTGTATTTATTTATTGTATTTTAATTATTGATCAAAATATTTCTGTTGAAATTTGGAGATTTTATTCTTGTGGTATCGAAAATGGTATCGAGTATCGAATATTTTCCTTAGTATCGGTATCGAGTTGAAAAGTTTACTATCGGGACAACCCTACCTGCCACATATTTGACTGAATAACCATTAAAAACAACCATTTTCATTAATTTAAGACGGAACTTTTCACACACTTTTATTATATTAAACTGCACTTACAATATTCACCACTGTTCAGCGCCAGGTACCTTTTTTGGAGCATGGAGCAGCCTAGAGTCCTGCAACGGGTCGGGTACCTGCGGGTCCCCGACGGGTCACCCGCTAAAATGCTCTTTTGCGGGTGAAAAATACATAAATAAAAATAAACGGGTCGGGGGTCAGGCGGATATTTTTTTAGTGCGGGCGGGTAGTTGGTGATTTTTTTTTTATGCGTGTGTGTTGTTACGGACATCAGAAATGTTATATTAATCAGGCACTGGGGTCACCCTTGTTGTAGCTTAAAGCCCTGCCGGCAGTGTGGGCTTCCCTCCAAAAAGGCCGCAGTCAGTGCATACACGTCTGCTGCAGTGTTAATGGCGCTGTTCTGCAGCGCAGCGTACTACAGCCTATTACTTGATGTGTTAACAGGTCGGGTTGCGGGTTAAATATCAACGGGTCGGGTCGGGTTCGGATTTGAATTGAAGATATCCCCGGGTGACGGGTCGGGTTCCGTAGTCATCCTAACGGATTCGGGCGGGGTGCGGGTTGGTAAAACTCGACCCGTGCAGGAGTCTAGGGCAGCCAGCTTGCTTGGACTTGCAATGAATCCTGGGATACTGAAGGCTACGTAAGATACACTGGACCCGTCCTTCATAACAGGCAAAAAGAAGGATGCATTTTTCGGCTGCATAACGAGGAGTCTTTCGATCTGAACAGGCCTTGGCATCGAACTGAATCACTATAGGAGTTTATACCTACTAAACCTTTGCTGCTTGTTTTTTTTTTCCCATTACCCTCTTTTGTATCTATAGATGCATGATTCTGTTTTTATGTCTGCATGTTGTTCATAGATGGAGCAGTGCACACTTTTACAAAATTTGAAGGTGAACAACTAGGCGGTAGCGCACAGGAAAGGAGGCAGCCCAACCCCGTCACTGTTGATGCAAACAATGGTGCCCTTTTCAATAGGCCTAGTATAAACCTAGCTTAAGGTTGCCTCTTGGAGCTCTTAGAAAACCCCCACTGTCTTTAAAAACTGAATAAAAAGTGATTCAGTCAGATAACATCTAACAGCTAATGTTCTAAGATTAATGACTGAAAACATTATACGGTTAAACAGGACGGTTTTTTTCCATTTTTGATTGGCGAAATGCAAAGTTATGCAATAAATTATTAATTAATATTTATTATTTCCTGATGATGCCTTAAAAAAAAAAAGACAGCAAGCCTGAGCACAGAACATGTTGTTCCTTTTCTTTTTATACTGAAAATAAAACCCTCAAATTGTATTTATAGATTAAGCAGTTAAAAATATATTTTGGTTCAATACTGCTGCTAAAAACAAAGTCAGTTAAAATGAAGGTTTCTATGGATTTTAGAATATGAAGGTGTAACATAAAGGATCATGGCAACAAGAGATCAACTGAAATAGGTTTTTAAGGCTAATGGCCATTATTTTGACACTCTTCTAACAAATCCTTCATATGTGCTGCCAAGAGATTAATCCACAAACTATTTGTTTTTAGCACTAAAATTAGTTTAACAGGAAACAGATTAGGCTGAAACAAAAGTAGTCCTGTCCTTGATTTGCTTCAATGGAAGCAGAAATTTAATGACTCACCAAAGAACTGGAAATGATGTGGGGATATCCAACTAACAGGACCGTCCACACTAATGATAAATACAACAGCAACCACAGAGGCACAAAAAAACAAGTCGGACAGGTGTGTACCGAGACCTGATACTTGTTAGCTCATGCTAATAATTAAAACAGATTTTTATACAGACTTTCAAAAAATACATTCATTGAAAACAAAACTAAGATTATGACTATCTTCTCATTTGAGCTGACATAGTTGATGTTAAGTAAAATATTCAATGTGCCTTTCTCCCAGCAGCAAACCAGTAAGATTTTAGTTCAAACTTGGTCTTTTAATTATTTCTTACCATCAGACAGACAGTATTTATGTACATATAACTGGGTCTGCATGCCTGGAGGTCACTGTTTACCAATATTACATAAGGCAACAGTTTCTAAAAGGCTAAAATATTGAAATATACTTTTTTGTAATAAATATAAGAAGCCTGATCTTGGTATTTATATCAAAGATGCACCAAGGAGTGGAATAGTGACTAAAATGACTATCTGATAGTGATAGAATAGAAAGTCCCTTTATTGTCCCACAATGGGGAAATTCTGCTGTTTACAGCAGCAAAAACATTACAGAAAAAAAGGTAGCACAAATATGGACCTTAGAAAATGTATGAGAATAACATAATAGTGAAGAGTTAAAAGATAAACAATAGAATACTGTACTTTAAAGCGTTTATTAATAACCAATATACAGCTAAGGACATTTTTACAGTAATGGATATTTGAAAATCGCAGCAACATAAGAGATGTGCAAAATTATAGCAGCAAGTATTTTTTTACTGACTAAGGTAGAAACTGTGAAATCAGCATGAATGTAACAACTTATTGAGGTTGTTGGGAACAGTGGTGGTTCTAGAGTCTTCCAGCTGCTGGGAGGAAGGATCTGTGATAACGCTCCCTGGTGCATTTAAGGTGCAGCAGTCTGTCACTGAAGAAACTTTCTAGTTCTGCAACAGCTTCATTCATGCGGTGGGAGACATTATGCAACAGAGATGTTCCTTTAATTAAGATCCTTTTGTTTACTTTTGCTAGTGGTCAGAAACCCCCAAAAAATGACCTTTTTTTGGCCAGTAAATACATTTCAGCTAAGAACTTATCGCACATTCTTCAGTGTCGATGCAGTTCCTCCAAATTTCTAATTTTGAGGCGTTTCGGAACAGATTTAGAAAAAAACGTAGAGACGTAAGAAGCTACTTCATAAGAAACTACTTCCTACTGAAGCATGTCAACCCTTCATTCAGGCTGTTGGCTTCGAACAGGATGCAAAATCTTGTCATGACATATGCCAAATATTAAAATCAAAGGTCTAAATCTCGAGGCACAGACACTGATGAAAATTAATAAACCTAAGAAGTAATATAGGATGCTTAGAGTATCCTAAATAGTTTTTCCTTATTTTCTTTTAGTTTGCAATTAGTAAAACATTAAACTGTGTCATTTTGGTCTAAGAAACCCTTTCATTTACTCAATGCTTACCTTAAAATACACAATGTCAGATGTGATGTGATGGTCTTTATCATTATGTGCAGTTTCTATTCTGCTCAATGATCAATCATCAATTCCTTCATCGACACAAGTAGTCACTAACTGCAGTTTTTTACTCACTTTTCCAGTTTTTCTTATTCGTCAGTTTTTCTATCTAAAAACCGATAGCTTTTTTTTTTCTTCTTTTTCACAGCACTAGTGGCTCGTTTTTTTTTTTTTTTTTTTTTTTATAGTAGGCTGACAGGAAAATGGGTCTGAGAGAGAGGGAGAGACATGCGGGAAAGGACCACAGGTCGGATTCGAACCCAGGTCGACCGCATCGAGGACTAATAGCCAACTTATGCTTCTGACGCATAGCCTCTGCAACAGTCAAGTCTCTGTGCGTGACCACGACCCCCGCACAGAGGTTCTGCAACCATCGTCAGGCACCGCAAAAAAATCCTGACTACGCGTCGGACGGTCGCAAAGCGAAGTGCGCAGACAAAAAGCAGCTGTGATTGGTCCTTTTATTTTAAAACCGAGGAACAACTACATGGACAACTACGACGAAAGGTTAATCGGTCTTTTTGCCTTTTTAACAGAACATTTTCCTCTTCGAAGTCTAGCAAATCTAGATCCATCTCCGTAACAGATATCTTGCAGACGCGCCATAGTTGTTTTGGAAAATAAACACCGGTTCCGCTGAAGTTCTCATGACCATCCGCTGAAGTTCTTGCGAGTTCTCGAATAGGCTCCCCCTTGCACTTTGGCGGGAAACTGCTTTGCGTCCCTAGAAATTCCAGACAGAAGCATACCAGCAAAACTGGTTCACGACCAGACCAGTTGCAGAAGCATAATCTGCTCTTTAGGCCTCTGTAAATGAGTTGTGCGCTTAAACCACTGCTCCACCAGTTTTTTTTTCTTTTCATTTTAACATTTTCTATATTCATCTGAGTCAGTGTTCCTCTCTGTTGTTGTACAGTTTAACTTGTAGAGTCTCTATTTCATGTCATCCGGTCTTGTGTGTAACTGTCTTTTGTCTACTTGTTTTACCAGACACACCTGAATTTCCCCAGAGTGGGACAATAAAGGTATTTGTATTCAAGGACCAAAGATACAAAGCTATTCCATATCTCCTGTCAGGTCTGTAAAAGGTTAAAGAGGAATGTAGAGGATTGGATGTCAAAATCTGATTCTGCTCAGTTTAATAAATAAAGAATGTCCATAAGTTTATGATGCATCAGTCACATAAAGCTGCTGATAGCCACCTGTTCAGTGCGTTGTTAGACATTTGAGTCATGGTAGCACTCTCATTACATAATGAAGTCATGGGTTGTAAACAGAAGCGATGACAGGATGATATTCTCTTGAATCACATCATCCTCTCCAATTAGGAAGGCAACAGTCATTGTGTGACCTAATATTAAATGAGAGTC